CAGAGCTTGGCGCCGGCCAGCTGCTTGGCTCGCTTTTCCAGCTCCCGACGTGCAGCCCTCTCCGCTGCGGCCGCCCGCTGGATGCCCTCCTCCAGGAGCGCGGGGCGCTCTGCAGGTGCCGGCGGGGCAAAGGCGCTCTCGAGCTGCTGGAGCGCCTGCCGCTGGGCCTCGGAGAGGGCCTGCCCACCAAGGGTCTGCACCACCTCGTCGATCGCGAGCGGCTCGGTCCTCTGCGTGGTCTCCTCGGCTTCGTGGTACCAGTCGGTCTGACCCTTGTGGTTGTCCTGCCACCAGCCTCTGCTGCCGCTAGCCCAGACGCCACGGGGCTTTGGGGCGGGAGAGTACGATGGTCGCAGGGCCTGCCCACAGCTGTAGCACGACTGCTTGGTCTTGTAGGTCCAGCGGTATCCACATTTCTTGCATCCCACGTAGTCGGCCGAGAAGGATATCCTTGGAGCTGGGGACTTGCCGCCTCCACGCCTGCGATCCGACATGGCGGCGGGATAGACTGGGACTCTGGACGGCAGCGCGCAGCTCCCCGTACAGGTCTCGAGAGAAGATGTCGGGCTGAACAGCCCTGGCACTGCCGCGGACTAGCGGTATCCACTTGTTCCCCTGAGGAACTCATCATCTTGAGCCAAAATGGCTACGGGGAGGAGGAGAGGAGGAGGAGGAGGAGGAGGAGGAGGAGGATGAGGAGGAGGAGGAGGAGGAGGAGGAGGAGGAGGAGGAGGAGGAGGAGGAGGAGGAGAGGAGGAGGAGGAGGAGGAGGAGGAGGGGAGGAGGAGGAGGAGGAGAGGAGGAGGAGGAGGAAGGAGGAGGAGGAGGAGGAGGAGAAGGAGGAGGAGGAGGGAGGAGGAGGAGGAGGAGGAGGAGGAGAGGAGGAGGAGGAGGAGGAGGGAGGAGGAGGGGAGAGGGGGGGGAAGGAGGAGGAGGAGGAGGAGGAGGAGGAGGAGGAGGGGAGAGGAGGAGGAGGAGGGGGCCGCGCCGCGCCGCGCGGCGGCGGTCCTCGGAGAAGGCGCGCGCGCCGCGGAAGAGGCGCCCCGCCGGCCCGGAGCCCTGGCCGAGGGCGGAGACGAGGAAGCGCCCCCTGCCAGGGCCGTGTGTTCTCCAGGCGGCCGATTCTTGGGCCGAGGCCTCCTCCTCCTCCTCTCCCTCCTCCTCCTCCTCCTCCTCCTCCCCTCCTCCTCCTCCTCCTCCCTCCTCCTCCTTCCTCCCTCCTCCCTCCCTCCCCCTCCTCCCTCCTCCCTCTCCTCTCCTCCCTCCTTCCTCCTCCACCTCCCTCCTCCTCCTCCTCCTCCTCCTCCCCTCCCTCCTCCCTCTCCTCCTCCTCCTCCTCCTCCTCCTCCTCCTCCTCCTCCTCCTCCTCCTCCTCCTCCTCCTCCTCCTCCCCCTCCCCCTCCTCCCCCTCCCTCTCCCCTCCTCCTCCTCCTCCTCCTCCTCCTCCTCCTCCTCCTCCTCCTCCTCCTCCTCCTCCTCCCTCCCTCCCCCCCTCCCTCCCTCCCTTCCTCCTCCCTCCCTCCTCCCCTCCCTCCCTCCTCCCTCCCTCCCTCCCTCCCCCTCCCTCCTCCCTCCTCCCTCCTCCCCCTCGTTCCCTCCTCCCTTCCTCCCTCCTCCTCCTCCTCCTCCTCCCTCCTCCTCCTCCTCCTCCTCCTCCTCCTCCCTCCTCCCTCCTCCTCCCCTCCTCCTCCTCCTCCTCCTCCTCCTCCTCCCCCTCCTCCTCCTCCTCGGGCCGCCCGCGGCCCCGGGGGAAAACCGCCCAGTCTGGGGAGCAGGGCGCTGGCGGAGTTGGCCTCGCCGTGGGGGTGCGCTCCTTCCCTTAGGGGGCCACTGGTGAACCCTACCCCTACCCCCCCACGATTTCTGAAGGGGAGGGTGGGGTTCACTTCGTTCGGGAGCTCCCGAGCGAAGTGAACCACACCCTCCCCCTCAGAAATCGTGGGGGGGCAGGGGTAGGGTTCACATGTGGCCCCCTATCCCTGCCCCCCCCTCTTTGTTTCATTCGAGCTTCGCGCGGCCCGCTCAGCGTCGACCGGAAGAGGTGCGCTCTCGACCCACGAATCGAAACAAAAAAAACAGTTTTCCAGGCGGCCGATGCCGGGAGGCCCCTCGCCCAGGAGTGTTGGCATCTCTTGGAGGGCAAAACTTTTGCATTTCCGCCGCCTGCCGCCGGCTTCCACTGGCGGAGGCGGCCTCGTTTTCCTTCCGCCGACCTCCTGCCACCTTCCGCCGCGGAAGAGGTACCAACTCCTTCGAGCCTCGAAGGTGAGGCCCTTTTCGGAACGCTCCACATAGAAGCGATCATCGAGGCCATGTTTGGTGAACACATCCTCCGGTGTGTTGTGGTCTGATCACAGCGGAAGCCACTTACACCGTTCGCAAATACTCTGATCCGCAAGCGTCAAACGGAGGATTGTATGCGTCCAGGGAGCAGCATTGAAAAGACCACCCACGCTCAACGTGGAAGATTTGCATCTGTCCATTCCGTGAAGTTCCCACGTATGCCATCTTCTCCCCGCCGCCCATTTCCCCCTCCGCCGCCATTTCAGACAGCGCTGAGCCGACAGGGCATGCACGCGAGTCCTGGCTTGCGTGCATGTCCTACTTTCTCTTCGGGCCTCGCCACCACCTACACCCCCTCCCCTTCGTATGGGGCAAACGGGTCCTGAGGGCAACGGGTCTTGGATCTTAGGGCCTTCCCCCAGGACCAGTTCTTCATCCTGAATCGTTTTCTGATACTCCTGGGGCCCGTGGGATGCCCATGGAGCCCGAAAACTAAGAAAAACCTCAGGACCCGTTTTCCTCTCTTTTATCCTCCTCCTGCCTACTGCTGCTCCTCCTCTTCTTCTTCTTCTTCTTCCAATTATCCCCTCGTCCTCGTCGTCGTCGGCGTCCTTCTCCTCCTCCTTCTGCTCCTCCTCCTCCTCCTCCGTCTCCTCCTCCTGTCCTCCTCTCTGCTTTCTCCTCCTCCTGCCTGCTGCCTGCTGCCTGCTGCTGCTGCTGCTGCTGCTCCTCCTCCTCCTCATCATCCCGCTCTTCCTTCCGGAAAAATGAAAAAAAGCGTCCTGTGGCACTCCAAGTCGGCGCGCATCTGCCTGAGACTCGGCTGATGTTTCGCTTTTTTTCTGAGTTGCGCGGACCGTCGCCCAGTGACGACCGCTCGTACGTCGCCGCCCCGAGGAGGAAGAGGAGGAAGAGGAGGGAGGCGGGGGGGACGCTGATGCTGGTGATTGTGATCACAACGGTGATGATTACGATGAGGGTGAGGATCAGGATGGGGATGAAGATGAGGATGATGATGATGATGATGATGATGATGATGATGAGGAGCAGGATGACCTTTGTCTCCTAGCGTGAGCAGGTTCGAAGGTTCGGACAATTGCAGTCTTCGGCTTTGCTTGCACTCTCGGGGGGAGATTTTCCAGATGTGGAGCAGGTGAAGGCCCCAAGGCGGCAGAAACCTTCCACGATCCAGCTGGCTTCCAATCCCAACGATCACGATGTCCGTCGGTATGGGAAGACAAACGATCGATTCTGCTGTGCCATCTGCGGGGGTAAGAACTCCTCTCGGACTGGACTGTGCATGGTACCGTGCAGCGGAGTTCCCAGGCTCGCCAGGCTAGCCCACAGCTCTCACAGGTTGTGCACTGGCGTGGGAGGCATCGTGTGGTGCAGACAGTGCACTGCCTTCGGCGCCTCGCGCTCCGTGTACCTCCTCGGTAAATGTCATAAGGGGCCCAGTAACAAAGGTGATGGCCAGTCTTTTACACATTTAAAGAAGGGGGTGGACCCCTCCTCCAGGCAATTGTTTGGCAGGAGTTGGCCAGTCCCGCCGAGGCCGCCCTAGCTTGGTCAACTTTTCCATCCAGGCGGGCTGCCACTTTATCCACCTCCCTTCGCCTCTCTTTGCTCTCTCTCTCTCTCTCTAGCGAGTAGTGCGGCCTTCGGGAGCTGGACTGCTGCGCCAGAGGACCAGAGGACCAGAGGAGGAGACGCGGGAGCAATTTTGCAGATCGCGTCGAAGAGTCGTCCGGCGGGGGACTTCTCTGAGGGTAGTTTTCCATCCAGGGTCCATTTCTGACGGCCAGGGTGCCAGAAAAAGCCCCCGGAGGCCACACACGCAAAAGACCGAAGGCGACGCAAACAAACAAATCAATGGCTCCAATTGCATTACTTGTCTAAGGCAGTGTATAGAGGCCTCGCGTGGGGTCCGCGTAGATGGGGTCGGGTGATCATGCTGCATCGCCGATGCATCGGCGATGCATCGGCAACGTTGCCTATGCATCGGCGACATCGGCATGGAGAAATTCGGACTCCACCTCCCGCTGCATCGCCGATGCACTGGCAACAGGGCGCGATCCTCCGACCCCACCCCCTTCGACCCCACCTGAGCGACGAAAAGAAGCGGGTCTTAAGCGAGATGGCATACAGATCTTATGCCGCAACTTGCGCAAGCCGTCGGCGCGGCACACTGCGTTGAGAACAAGGGCGTCTACGCGCGGCCTTACGCGGGAAGATTACGCGCCAATGTCAAGGCCTCCAGACAGGAGCCCTCGAAAAACGTACGCGCCCAACAACACCACGTACATGAACCGGCCCCCTAATCCGCGAGACCGGCCGCGCAATGCGTCTCTCGGCGCTCAACACGCCTTTTTGAGGCCAGAGAACGCACGAAGGGGGAGGAGGGAGGACGGAGATGAAGATAGGCAAGAGCAGAAGGAGGAGGAGGAAGAGGAGGAGGAGGAGGAGGAGGATGAGGAGGAATATCAGACCCTCGCTTTCAATCTCGCCGTGCCTGTGCCCGTTCTCGCGTCTGCCGCCCCTACATTCCTTGTGGTGTTCCTTCTCTTGCCGCCTCCTATCCTCGCTCCCCTCCCTCTTCTCCCGCTTCCAAGATCACCCTCCTCCGCACATTCCGTTTGCGCCTCCTCCAAGCATTTTTTCTCCTGCTCGCTACTCGTTCGCCCCCCCACCCCCAAGCCACCCTGCCCCCTCAGACGCTTCCTGTTCCAAGCGGCAGGATCAGGGTTCACTGCATCAACCGCGCCTGCACTGGAGCAGGCGAGCCGCTCAATCAATCTTGCGCGCAACTGCTTGCAAAAGAACTCGATAGCGCAAATGGCGTCCTCAAATGTATCGACAGGCCGTAGACGGAAAGCACGAACTCCGCGATTCCCCCCCGTATGGGGGTTCTACTGCTACGTGGGCTATCACACTAAGACACATTACACCTACCAATTTCCCACTCAGCAAAGACAAATTTCTCCCACACTCAGCAACTGCTCCCGCACAGTTGGAATTCCGCCCAGCTCGTCTGTTCCGAAGCTTTGAACCGGCGAAGCAGTCCGCTCTCGCATGCTGGATGTCAGGGATTGGCCTTGCTGGAGGAGGAGGAGGAGGGGCATGGCCCCGATCCACATCGCGTCCACCATCAGACTTCTTCGCTCCGACGATGCCTGCTCCCCCAATGGCCTACAGCTCCAGGCCGCTGCCCGTAATTCTGGGGAATGGATTGCCGACCACGGTCCGGTATTCCCTGGGAGTGACCGACCGGAAGGACAGCATGGACGAATGAACCACGGCTGGGCACTGGGCACTCCCGAATGTCCAGCCAAGGGTCTGCATCCGTTGCTCCGTCCACGAACGAGGGTAACGATGAGGAGGGGGATGACGATGGTGATGACGAGGAGGACCATGATTAGGATTGTGATAGTGGTGAGGAGGTAGGTGGAGAAGACGAGCAGTCGAGGGGGTGGGAGAAGTACGGTGGAATATGCGAGCATCTCCTGCACGACGCTCCATGCATTTGCCTCGACTGTGGGGCTGCTTGGGAAACGTACGCTGTTTCGCATTGGGGCGATGGGGCCCGAATGGATGGTAGGATAGCGACAACATGAGATCCTTCTCTTCCTCCTCGTCCTCCTCCTCCCATCCTTGTTTCCTTTCTGCTACCCCCTCTCGCAACCGTGCCTACTTTGGCGCAGGTCGAGATCAGGCCACCTCCTCCTCCTCCTCCTCCTCCTCCTCCTCCTCCTCCTCCTCCTCCGGGCGAGAGGGTTGGGGACGGGGGGGGGGGGGGGTAGTGCCTGGGCACAGTAGCGCGGGGTATGCCGCCGGCCAGGTCGCACTCCTGGCGCGACCCGACGGCCCGCGGTACGCCCACGGGGAGGTGCAGAAGCGGCGCCGGCGGCAGCTCGAAGCTGTGCGATAGCGCGGGCGCTCCGGGCAGCTGCAGGCCGCGCTCAGAGACGTGGGGGAGCGACCGTGAGCTGCGCCAGCGCCTGGCTGCGGTGGCCCTTGCGCCCGCAGGCCTCCTGCACGGAGGCGGTCCCGCATGTGGCGCGGCTGCTGGGTGCTGCGGCAGCCCGCCCCCCCCCCCCTGGCCGCTGGGGACTGCGCAGTAGGGCACAGCGCATGGGCGAGAAAAGTGAACCGATGGCAGACGGGGAGCAGCCATCTGTTCACGGAGCTGGCTCAGTGCGGCTTGGTGTGCCGTGGCGCATGATTTGGTTGAACCACCCACCGCTTTGCTGAAGCGGGAGTAGCAATCATGGACACATGAATACCTCGGCGGCGAGCGAGGGGGGAGCAAGAAGGAGAAGGCCTTCTCAGAAGGCGGCGGGGCTTCTCAGAGGGCCTCCGGGCTTCTGATAGGTTTTCGGTGTCTTCGGGGAAGCTTAGAACACTTCTCAGTTGGCTGGGGGACTTCCGAGCCTTCTGAGAAGGCCAGCCCCCTCTCACTTCCCCCCGTCGCTCGCCGCCGAATACCTGTGGAGCAGCAGTCTTCAACTCGTGAGCGGGCTCGATGGCATCGTGTGCGGCCGCAGTCGCGCTCGCAGCAGATCCTGCTGCTGATGCTTGGGCCTGGAGTGACTGCGGAGGCTTCTGGTGAGGTGGCGGCGCAAAGCCAATCTCAAGGAGTAGCAGGACATCCCCGCCTGCCGATGGTGCCTGGCGAATATAGCGTGGTGCATAGATATATATATACATATATATATATATATATAGATATATGGTCCCCCCTGAAATCATACATTTTCTCTTGAATCGTATTCACGTTCATCATCATCTTATTCATATTTCCCTTCTGATCTTCCGTCCTCCCCCTCATCTGCTTCCCACTCCACTGTTCGTCCACACCCCTCTCCTACCATCTACTTGGATAGACCACAAAGGGACTCGATTGGAAAGCCTCACAACAGGAATCTTTTGGAAAACACCGCAAAAGGATTCGATTGGAAAGCCTCACAACTGGAATCCTTTGTAAAGCGCCGCAGCGGGATTCTATTGGAAAGCGTCACAACAGGAATCTTTTGTAAAGCGCCACAAAGGGTCCTCTGGAAACCACCACCAAGGGATTTTATTGGAAAGCCTCGCAAAAGGAATCCTTTTTGGAAAGGACCACAAAGGGATTCTATTGTATTGATAAGCGCCACGAGAAGATTCGATTGAAAAGCCTCGCACCCCCCCCCCAGCACCCCCGAACGACGGACTGGGGAGGGCATCCTCCTCAGCACCCCCTCTTCCGCTCTCCCTCTCTCCCGCTCTCCCATGATGATGGTGATGATGATGGTGATGATGATTCTATTGGCTATCCGCTTCTGATCCTGCCGCTGGAGCTGCTGCTCCGACTTTCCAGTCGAGTGCAGCGACACAAGCGGTCTAGCGCACGACCTGGACCAACCTTGGTGCCCGAAATTGGTACGTATCCCTCTGGGGAGGGGTGGGCGAATGGGGTGCGCCAAGCAACATGGGAACTACCCTGGGTTGGCTGCTGATTCCGCTACTGTGCCACACCTGGGCGGCGTGGGCCGGGCCTCCAAGGAGGAGCTCCCCCAGAGTAACGTCCACCCCTGGCATGTCACAGCACCCGATGACGTCCCGTCTCCCTCCTCATCCGTCTCGGACTCCCTGGGCGCATGATCCCCGACCGGGCCACCACTGGAAATCCAGTTGGCCTCGTTGACACCCTCCGAAGTCATCTGGGAAGGTCGAGCGTCGACTCTGCCCGATGCTGGCCGGCCACCTTAGGTGATCTTTGCCGATCGGGCCGATTGGATGGCCTGGCCCAGACACGTGATCAGCATGTGTATCAGCCTTGCGAACGCCACTCTCGTTTCAACTGGGACATCTGGTCGGTGGCTAGTCCAAGAACTCCTGGACTTTCGCAGTGAGACTTGTCGACCCAAGCAAATACGCTGGCAACACGGGCAACATCCGATCGGGGATCAGGCCGATGCGTTGGTCTTAGTCTGATCACCAGTCGGACTATTGGTGGTAGCTCGACTGCCGCATAAGCCTGCCACCCACAGTCGCACACGCCCAGCTGGCAGGGCTGCTTGTACATGCAACACGGCGTACCTCTCTGGAGGCCAACAGCCGACCAGCCACACCGCCAGCGTCTCACCGAACACCTCAGATACGCGCGGGGATCGTATGGACAATCCAACTAACTGGGCGGCAAGAAGACAAACGATTGTAACGCCAACGCTTATGACTCTGCTTCCCCCTTCCGATATCTCGACTTGAAAAAACAGAAGCTCCAGCAGGTACCTCGGTCAATGCACACCTCATACAGTATCTGATTCGTGTGTCGCCCACGTGGCGAACACCCAGGAAGCCAACCCAATTTCTTGAGAAAGAAAAGTAAGAGCCCCTACGTACAAACACTGTCTGAGAAGTATGAGACATGCGAGAGAAAGAGAAAGAGGGATGGATATAGAGAGATGTCATGCAACAGTGTCCATGCATCTACGCATGAATGCATGTGTATATGTAATTGTTTCTGTTCGTACAAACATGCACATGTACGTAGCTCTCTCTCTCTCATTATATACATATAAATATTTACATAGAGAAGGGGTGTATATATCCGCCGATCGGGCGTGTGAGTTTGGAAAAGCCTCCGCTACAGCATACAGCCTACAGCCTACAGCCTGAGCTTCAGCTCGGCTGGGGGGGGGGGCGGGGTGGCTCTGCCGGGGAAGGGGGGGAGGGGGGGGGGGACGAGTTGTGCTCCGTTTTGTGGGAGGGGGCTCCTAGGGCTCGTCGCGGCTACCCGCGTGTCTCTGGGGAGGGCATTTTTTGACACCCCTCACGAGGATCGTGGCCTCCGAGGGGGTCCCGAACTGGAGTGCCCCCCCTCCCGCCCCAAGAAGCTCCCAAGAGGCCCCAAGAAGCTCCCAAGAGGCCCCCCAAAAGCTCCAAGAGGCCCCAACGAGGCCCGAAAATGGCCCCAAGAAGCCCCGAAACTGCCTAAGAGGCCCGGGGGGGCCTCAAAACTGCCTCTCAGAGGCCCCGGAGCGCCCCGGATCGGCGGCACTGGCCAGAGGCCACTACACACTACACACACACACTATATATATATATATATATATATATATATATATATATATATATACACATATATATACACACATGTATACACAAGACTGCATTGGCCCTGCGCGCCATGCACCTGGGTCCTCCGACTTTCGCACAATTTGGCCCTTCGCGCCATCCTCTTTGGCCTTGAACTGCGGCCGGCTACTGTTAAGTTGTGTTTGGACCCGAATCTCGGGGCGGACACTCCCATGTGGCGGCGAGAACGCTGGAGGCCCCGGAAGAACGAACAAGTGTCAGCAAACCTTTGTCCTCGAACTTCGAATTTAGATCCCCTGCCTTCCTCTCTGGATCCTTGACCATTGAATCTCGATCCTCAAACGTCGAACCACGATCTTCTTGGGAAGTACACCGAATCCCAAGTTCGCAACGGATTTCCGGGAATCTTGTTGCGGACCCAGGATTCGGGTCAGCTTAGTGTACGTCGTAGGAGAACGCCGTCTGGGCTTTTCTGGGGCTCTTTTGGTCCGTCTTGGAACCCTCTTGGGCCGTCCTGGGGCCTCCTTGGGTCGTTTTGGGGAGCTTGGGCCCTCTAGGGGCCTTCTGATCTTGGGGGCCTCCCATGGCCCTCTTGGGTTTCTCTTGGGCAGTCTTGGGGCTCTTTGGGCCAGTCTTGGGGCCCTCTTGGGCCGTCTTGAGGTTCTCTGGGGGGCCTCTTGGGCCGTCTTGGGGCGATATCGGGGGCTCATCCAGCCGTTTTGGAAGCTGGTACGACCAGAAAACGGACATGCTAAAAATGCACGTTTTCCTAAGGGAATTGGACTATTTTTGTTTATTCGGGGCCCTCTTAACGGCCTCTTGGGGCGTCTTGGGGACCTCTTGGGCCGTCTTCAGACCATCGAGGTCCCTGTTGGAACGCTCTTGTGCTGTCTTGGTTCTCTCTTGCGCCTCTCCGATGAGCCTTCTGACCGCCTTGAGTCTGCTTGCAAGGCCTGGCAAGGCGCCCTGGGTGGCCCAGAAGGGCCGGGGGACCTTGACTAAGGGCGTCCGGGGGGCCCCCCGGACTCCGAATGGGCGTCCGGGGGGTCCCTGGGGGGGGGGTCCGGTTTAGGGGGGAGGGTGTGGTGGGGGGGGTCCAGGTAACAAAAATATAAGTAGGAATCTATATACATATATATATACACATACACATAGAGCGAGATATGTATACACACATCCGCTTGGTCTCAAGGGAGCAAAAAGAAACAACACTATACTCAGGCATCCGCGTTGGCCCCGTCTCGTGCGCGGCGTCCCAGTCGATCGGACGGGACCTTAGGGATGTTCGTCATGCTGTCCTTCATCTTGTCGTAGAGCGCCTCGAGCTTCGCTTTGAGAGTCACGCCCGCCGTCGCCTGGTCCAAGTTGCTCGGGTCGAAGACGGAGCCCCTCCGGTTCTGTTTCTCCCTCTAGTCCTCATCCCTCTTCTTTTTGGGCCCAGCGTAGGCAACACACCGCCCTTTCGTATCGTAGGCGGTGTCGACCGAGCGCGTCAGGAAACTCTGTAATATTGGAATCATGAACATGAAGAATGGCATGGACAGGTAACCGTGCATCACCTGGGCAGCAAAAGTGCGTGGCGGATGGACTAGAGATTGTACGCACGTCTGGTGCCTTCGGGCCCGAGGGCGATCACAATGAACAGGCCGCAGATAACAACAATGACGCAGATGGCGTCGTAGAGCAAACAGCACCTGATGCACCCGCCTGGGCCCGTCGCGCCGGTGTGCTGGAATTCGCGCCTGCTTCTCTTGCTGGAGGGCTAGGGCCCAAGGTCATCGGGACTCTCGTCGTTGTGGGCCGCGGGGTCCGCGGAGGCCGTGCGGGAGCCGACGCGCCCCTTCGGCTCCTTGCGGCCCTGTCCTGTCGAGTGCCGCAGGCAAAAGTAGGCGGCCCACATCAACATCACCTGGAGGACCCACTCGAAGATGGCGAACTCGCACATGCCCCCTGTAGAGCTCGGACGTGCCCGGCCCGTGGCTCTCGCACGAGTGCCGCTCTTCCTGGGCTTGGCTGCTCACGCAGATCACGAGCATGAAGAAGTACATGGTGGTCCGGATGGCGCCATGTGACAGGAACTTGGTGCCCTTGAGCTGCATGGTACCAGAGGGAAAACCCCAATCAGGTTTTTGCTGGGGCTATGGAGCTATAGGACTACAGGGCTGTAGGGCTATGGGGCTATATGGCAATGGGGGCATAGTACTGTAGGGCTATTGGGCTATGGGGCTATAGGGGCTATAGGACTATTGGGCTATAGGGCTATAGGGCTATAGGGCTATTGGGCCATATGGGCCATATGTGCTATTGGGCTATTGGGCTGTAGGGCTATCGAGCTATAAGGCTATAGGACTACATGGCTATAAAATACTCAGGCACCCCTGCGCACCTCCGGGCACCCTCGAGCACCCGGGCACCCACGGGCACCCGGGCACCCGGTCACCCGGCCACCGAAATCCTAGGGCACCGGGCACCCCCGGGCACCGGGGCACCCGGGCACCCGGCGGTCACCGGCCACCAAATCGGCGCCCCACCTCACCTAACCATACGAATCCGCTAGGACCCCTACATAAGCAAGCTCTGATCGGGGAAAGATAAACTGCAGCAGCTGGAGCCCATCACGCTTGTCGATGACGAGGAATATCAAAGCGTAAACCAGCGCGTAAAAGTTGCTGACAGGAATTAACGAGCCAAGGGTAAACATGACCGAGATAGGATCTCGTAATTTGCCCCACATGGCTTTGTCGTAGGGGTAGATGGGATACCTAAGGATGCCGCGGGGGACGTACCAGGGGCCTGGACCCAAGTCTTCCTCCGGTAACTTCGCGTCCAGGTGCACGGCGACCTCCCACATAATCTCCTCTCTGATGTCGGGCCAAGCCTGGTCGATGATGCTGTCCTGTATCAGTTTCCCGCGAGCGGGCATGTCAGGATCGTCCATGTAGTTCTCTATAATCCTGGGGCCCTTGGCGATGAGCTTCTCGATTTGGTCAAAGATCACCTCCAGGAACCACTTCTTCGTCTCCTGCTCGAACTTGTCTCTCTTCGCCCTGGCGGCAGCGGAGACGGTGTGGGCCGCCTCCTTCGCGGCTGCGGCCCCTTGCGCCAAGGGCTACGGGTATGTATGCGCACACACACACACACACGTGTATATATATATAGAGAGAGAGAGAGAGAGAGAGAGAGAGAGATGGAGAGAGAGAAAAGAGAGAGATAGAGAAGAGAGAGAACAAATGAGAGAGAGAGAGACAGAAAGAGAGAGAGAGAGAGAGAAAACAAAAACGATATCCGCTACTGTGCCCTTCCCTTGGCACGATGTGGAGTGCCCCGAGAGCCCCTGGCTTACAGCTGTGCTGCCACTGCTGCAGCCAAGATTCTAAATTTGAAGGCCCAGGCACCCGGTTTCCCAGGCGCTCCTGGGCGCGGCCGGGAGTTTCTAGTAACTCATGGGTTGTGTCGCGTGTGTCTTTTGGAAGCCAGGAAGGTTGCAAGATGTGTCCACAGGGACCGAAGAGGCCGCGAAGACGGCCCAAGAGAGCCTCGAGTCGCGTCAAGATCGGCTCCAACTCCTCAAGATGGCTTGAAGATGGTCAAAGAAGTCCCCGAGAAACTCCTAGGGGGCCCCAGGAACACCTCCGAGACGGCCTACATAGGCCCAGGCCAATGATCTCCCCAAAGGTTTTTGAAAGACTTCAGCCTTCTCTCCTGTTTTTCAACTTTTCACGCTCCAGGACGGCCCAATAAGCTCCCAGTGACGCCCCAGGACTGCCCAGGAGGTCCCCAGGAGGGCCCCAAGACGCCCCAAGAGGGCGTTAAGACAGCCCAAGAGGCCCCCACGACGGCCCTCCAGGCACCCAAGAGGGCCCCCAAAGGGGGAACACGAACGGACATTTCAAGCCTTCAGCCCCAAGACAAGAGCGCCCCCGAGGCTCCCGAGGCCCCCCCAAGGCGCCCCAAGAGGCCCCCAAGAGGCCCCCCAGAAGCGCCCAAGACCCTTTCAAGAGTCCCCCGAAAGGCATCCCAAGAGACCCCCAAAACGCCCCAAGAGGCCACCCAG